ACCACAAATCAAAGACGTTTTGCTGACGCAGACGACTCGCAGCGGTGATAAGAACAAATACACAAACAGCATGTTGATTTGTATAGCTATTAATGCCAACTGGACATATGGGTTTACTAAAAAAAGGCAGGTTTCCACAGCTGTTGATATTGGAGAAGATAAAAGCGGTTTATTTCATGACACACGAAAAGTGATCGGTCTTCAAGTGATCGGCCAGATATGGCGTTTTGGCCCGCATCTGGCCGTCCTTCTTCAAGTTATAGGTGTTAATAGAGTGCTCTGGTCGTTCCGGTTGTCTGCGGCAAGGAAGCTTATGGAATCGAGAGGCCAAACGCTTCAAACCCTTGTCGGCTACAAAATACTCTAGACAATCGAAAATAACCAACCGACTCTATCAACACTTCTACATAAAATAAGATGCATGAGATATGGTCAAAATGCTGATATCGGTCTATCATATGATTGACCACCCTTTGCGTTGTGAATAAAGAATTTTATTTTTTTGGTGTGATTACCAGCGTACAAACCAAATGCCCCACCTACAGTTGATACGAATAAAAAATGCTGCACTCGGTTTATACGGCACAGTTACTCACTGTAATCTGTCTTTTGAGGAACAGTGGGCTGTTAGCACTGAATTATTGGATAAAAGAACTAGAGACCGTCAACCTCCTAACTTATAGGGAGATTCATATCACTTCTGAATATTTGCAGAGAATAATTAATGGACGAATAAGTGATATCTAAGATACCCGTCCGGAGGCTATCAGCTGATTCAAATATGTGCATATTTCTAATTTTCCATGTAATTTTACAAATCATTGTCAGTCATGCGATCGAGGAAAATATTTTGCACATGCTTTAAAAACAACACAATTAAATATAAGAAAATACTTATCCTTTATCTGGAATGGGGTCTGAGAAGACCAAAAATAGCGGCTGATGGAAAGAGTTACGTTAATAGATCTATGAGGGATATGCATAAGAATGGCAAGTTTTTTTCAGAAACGCGGAGATGGATTTTGCATAGAGCACATTTTGGAAGCTCCTTGTGAATGAGACCAAATACCGTGTTGCAAGCACGGTTTCGTACTTGTACTCCGGTAGAGTACAAGACAGACTCTTATGAGCAGAAGCTGGATCGAGTAATGACTGACGACTCATTGCCGTTGTTCACTCGGCTGATTCCTCGCCTCAGTCCGTCGGTGTTCCTCGGGTAAGGGCTTCGTCAGCGAATCATTCGAATTTTTAACTGACATTTTCCTTTGCAACACTCCGTTCAGGAATTCGACTAAACAACCGTTTTGAAACGGGGTTTCGGCGGGAGCTTTGAAAAAACGATGATCGATTCCCGAGATTGCATTCGACTCGTTCAGACGCTCGCCGGTAACTATCGACCGAACAAGCTCGGAATAGGTTTTTGTGCGTAGTGAATGAATGATACGTGGTGAATGAACGTAGGGTCCGATCTTGAGGATGACCGATGGCTTCATGACGGTTCGCTTGGCTGATGAATGATCCCACATTCGCTTCGAATACCGCAAAAGCCACAGTTCGTATAGCTCGGTCCACAACGTCTGGTGCCTGACCAGAATTTAGCATATTGCACAGTCCCCCTTGTTTAGATTTGAAATGGCGGGTCCTTCAAACAAACCAAAACTCTATTATATTGGAGAACCTGCTATATTAGGTG